TTCTGTCCCGGACTTTAAAACTTGTGTCCCGGTAAATTATGAACCGGGACGAGACAGACAGATTTTAAACGAGACGAGACGAGATTTGTCTTAATTATTTAAGACAAAACAAGTTTTTCGATTACGATACGAATCAAGATGTGTATAAGAGACAGCACTTGGGCTTCCTTCCAGTCGGCCGGCAAAATCCCTTCGATTAAGGTTTTTCGAAAGAACACTGTTAAACGGCCGGCCAGGTCGGTTGCTAACTCGTTGAGTAATCTATTGTGGAAACCGTCTGATCCAGATGACTTGTTGGGATTCAGGGAGACCAAGCGCTAGAGAACCTCCTCTTCATGTATCTCAAAATTAGTTAACTTCGAGCTCACTGGTCGCTCCTCAATGGCCGGAATACTGTTCAAGTCCTCATCTGTGAAGATGCTGCTAAAGAACTGATTTAGAACATTGGCCTTGCCCTCCTCAGAAGATATCTTTCGTTGATTTTACATTCAAATCAGCAATATCGTCCCTTGTCCTACACTTCGAACTAGCAGTTTTGATCAATGCCTCCCCTTGTCAACGCTGATCAAAATATTTGCTAGAGACCTGTTAATATATAATACACATTAATGTATAATATAGTAGTTCAAGAGTTCATTACACTGTCAGACACTTACTGATTCATTTTTCAAGCTAACCCCACGAATGACGAACGATAAATCACCCCGCCGTCAAGTACCTAGACTAACTGTACTCAACTGAACTTGGAAAGTACTACCCCAGACACAGATCTCATTTAAGAGTATCGCGACGGACAAGACTGTAGGGCTCCCACTTTACTTCTATCTAAGATGAATAAATGTGAATGTTTTGTACCCATTCCAGACAATTAAGGTTAGGGTTAACTTGGGTATATACGCTCAGATATGCAGTGCGTCATGTTTGTTGCCGACACAAAGAGCTTAGTTTCTTTTTCTAAGCACCAGTTCAAATCTATCTGGCCTGTTGAAAATGGTCGTGGCAGGATCAGATTCTGATTTCAGCGAAGTGGTCGTCGCAGCTTCGAGCTTGAATCGGTGCAAGATGGCCGCCGTGAAGAGGAAAAGTTGCATGCGGGCCAAAGACTCCCCCACACATTGGCGTCGGCCTGTCGATATTGTTTGTTTGCATTAAGTTAGTTAGAATTAGTTGACAACACTGAACCGATAGAAAAAACGTTGAAAAAACAGTCCGACCGGCGTATGAGTGCCTGGTCACAACATGAAAAAAAACATTATTCCGATTTTTTTTACGTTTTTAAATGAAACCCGAGCCAATCATAGCCGAATTACATGATTCGACCGTCCAACGGTGAAAAACCGCAAGACCGTACGTTTTTTTTACCTTTTTTCGAACAGTGATATAAATACAACGTATGGAAGTCAATAGGAAAAAAAAAGTTAAAAAATAAGAAAAATTGTAATGAATTGGGATTGGAACAAGAGATAATACAAATTTACCGACTGAGAAGGGGATGAAATTTTCCTTATCGCTGTCAAGCTTCCCATTTTCGTCCAGGAAATGTTCAGGGTAAAGTTGGTCAGGTTTCTGCCAGAAGGACTTATTTTTGTGGCAAATTTCGCTGCACGCCATCAGCAATGTGTCCTGGCAGATAATTGTTTCAAATTAATTCAATTAATTCATTGCAATTAATCGAAAACATTGAACATTAAATTCTTCATTGATAATCGTAATATTTTCCATTCATATGTCCAAATAGAATTAAAATGAATACAGGAAAAACGTGCTAAAATAATGCTCTGTATATATTGTTAAGAACCTGTGGTATGGTATAGCCCTCGAATACGACGTCATCTGTGGCGCGATGAAACATCAACAGAGGCGCCAAAGAGCTCAGCCTCAACACGTCCAGCACCAGCGCTTCTACATACGCTAATCTGCCATGAAATTATGGCTTAATATTATAATGTCCTACTGTGGTATATGTTTTTTATCATTACATTTTATTGTGTTACTATGTATTTATATTATTATATCTTCATATTATACGTTAAAATGGTTTAATAGTTCTTCAAGCAGTTATATATGGTCGAGATATGGTGTACCTTACTGGCATTGCGACTATTTCAATACCTTTTGACGAAAATTTTAGACATTAACGAATTGGTTCAGCTTTGTCATAAATGAAATAATTCAAATGGTAGAGGGATTTCAAAATTTTATCAAGTCTGAGATTGTTATAACGTAGAATGAATACATAAATATGATAAATAAATAATAATATGAATCAGGATTGAATTGATATTTAATTTTTGGGGACTCTACGACTCATTGCAAATTTTCTTCTCCGTCCTGTACCCAAAGATTTCATTACCGATTGTGAAAACATCGATGTCACTAAAAATAATTCATAGAGCTCGTTACACTCACCGAGGCTTGTCTGCCAGGCAAGGAAGCCGAGTTCTAGGCACTGCCTCGTCCAGGCATTGATGAGCCTTTGCCTGTACCTATGATTACATTATTTGTCTTTAGTGACACAATTAGACTACTAATAATCAATAATGAGTCATTGATAATCTACTAATACTATTCAACTTTGAGTTACATGAATTGTCGACAAGCGGGACTATTCTACAAACTTTTATAAACTTCAATATTATTCGAAATTGTATTTTCATGCTAAATTTATTGTGATTATTTGCTTGTATTTTAACATTAGGTGGGAGAATAAGAATGTTAAGATAGACAATATTGACTGAGTAACTCTGCAAAACCCTTATGGTTGAAAATGATTCACAAGATGAGATACGCCTCTTCGCTGGTGATAAAACTCTATTTGTATTGTCAGCAGTGAAGCGCAAGAAGGTATGCTAACGTCAGGATAGATGGTTAGGTAGAGCATCATCCAGCGCAGGGTGGAGGCGGTCGTGTCCAAGCCAGCCAAAAATGTGTCATTCATCATGCCGCACAGCTGCTGAGCTGCAAGAAAACTTTGCTATTTAATGCGCTGTAAAGTATATACAGTGAATACTATTACGGTAATTACGTAAAATATCGTTTTGTCATGCCTTGTTGACAGAGAGACACGCAATACTCACCATCGAAATGAGTGAGGAAGCCATTGGAGTCGCGTTCAGTTTTTTCCAGGAGGTAGTAATCTATGATGTCGCGTGGGTTGTCTGGGTCCAGGGATGTCAAATGTTCTCGAATTTTATTCTGTCGGAATTAGAAATCGAAAATCAATTAATGCAATATTAGGTATTCTTTCTCATTTTTCTGGTCCGCTCTCATCCTCTTCGTATAAGGTAATAATCAAGCATAATAAAGTTGCAAAATTATTAGCTGGGTGTTTTGCTAGGCTACAATCTTTGCATTGCAAAAGTGAAAATATAGAAACAGATATTTTCGCTCACGAGAACTGCAGGGAAGCATTTTAAGATACTTTACAGTCAAACAATCATTACAAACGAGAAATCGATCGTTTTACTCTTACCTCAGACATTTTGGTCAGCTCTTGAAAGTAATTTTCTCCCACATTGAAGTCGAAGAACGCGTTGAGAATGAACATAGGTAGGATTTTCGGCAACACTGGAATGATGTCAAGCAGAAAGATTTTCTTCCGACTAACGTACAGAATTTTTTCCAGGACTTGAACATATTGCACTATTTCAAGGTCGCCCACGTCGTATCGCTTGCCTGCAGAGATTTTCAATTGTTAAAATATAGTACTTGTTTAATGAGTTGTAGGTGAAGCACGATTTACAAAAAAACTAATCCTGAAATGCTACAGTACAATTACTATGCATCTCACTTGTAAACATCATCCAAAGCACGTTGATAACTGCCGTGTTGAGAGCGCTGTCTATGACGACAGGTCTGTCGAGGCAGGCCTTCTCGAGATGGTCCATCAACAACGACGCCTCATCCGCTATGGCGTCCCCGAGGAAAGTCTTACCCATGCCCAGGTTCCGCAGCTGAGTGAGGAGAAAATGTCGGTTCTCTGACCACACCAGCCCGTCCGACAAAGCCACTCCTGCAAAAGTTAACATTTGTTTCTTGGTGCTCTTCTAAAAATTAGAGGAGCAAGTTACTGATATCGAAATGATGTGACTACTATGCCAATTATATCAATTTCTAGTGCCACTAGACTACACTCACACACCCCTTTTTCTGTGCCGTTGCACTATTCTGTATGAAAAGAAGTCAGGCCTCCCTTGAAAGCTTGGATGTTGAAAGGCTTTCTTGATGAGACTGTATTCGGTGAGAACGACGATAGGATGAGCGCCCCATTTGGTACTGCGAAGAAGACGTGTTAAGGCCCGTTCACACTAGGGGCAACACACGAGAATCAAGTGCCTCAAAGCGCATGCAGAGGCGCTTTGCAGCCTCTGCATGCGCTTCTTGACCGATTGACGAGCTAGCGATTGACATAATCGAAATGCAAATGATGTAAGTTATTTTTACATGACGTGTTTAGTTTTTGTGATTTTAGCAACCCCTGACAATTTATGCATTACCGTTTAGCGATTTCAAAGGATGATTATGATGATATAATGATATCATCATAATATGATGATTTAATGATATCATCATATACCGATGATATAATATCGGTACGAATATTGGAACTTTTTATTTAAGAATAGACTATATTCTTTATAAACTGTATCTGTTTGAATGTGCTAGTTCTCTTATTATGATGCCTATGCTAAATTCTCGTTTACAACTGGCATAGTGCGGAGAATGACTGACCGCTGCACACCCGAGAACAATGACCCACAGCTCAAATTCGGTTACATCCATCCTCATTGACGTCTAGGTGGCAACTAGTGTTCAAAGCGCGCACGCCGCGCAGTCTCAAACTACCCGAGTACAAAAGTAGTGTGAACGGTTGTGCTCGGTGAGGCACGGCAGCAAACGACTCAAAGCGCATGTCGTTGCCACTAGTGTAAACGGGCCTTTAGAGACTTAGAGGGGCAACGTATCAAAGGTGCTGAGCCTTGTGGAACTCAAAACCGTCGCGGCGTCACTTCGGGGGTATAGGCTTAAGTTTGGGTGACACCAGCGTATGTATGGACCTTAAAATTTGCGCCAAAGGTTGTTCATCTGAAGTGACCGTCACGCGAGTACGGTCTGCTGTCTGTGGACCTTGTGACGGCCGCGGCAGTGAGGCTAGCGGTTTCGCCGTTTTCGAACGTTGGTTGTCGTGGCAAACCTACTCACTGAGGATGCTACGATTCTTGTGAGCACGTCAGAAATGTACAAGGGACGGTGTAATGGTATAGACTCCAGTTATAAAGAATATTTATTAATCGAAATTGTTAAAGTAAAAATTATCAGGATTTTTTTTTGTAATACTCAATTATGCGGATTATTTTTCATTCGCAGCAAATTGTTTAATTCAAGATTATTATGCACATATTTTGTAGAGGGTGAATTTTGCGTTTATAGAGTTCTGCACATATGTGCGATAGTTCTCACGTCGTTTATAGTTTTCCAAAAAAGGAGAGACACGAGCGGGAATAGTCAGATAGCACCGGTGAGTCAGAGAAAGAGGAGACCATCAGTCGTAAGATGTGACAAGAGATTACAGGCTTAGTTATCACCATTTTTAAGCCGGGTGAACGTGACAAGTATCCAACCAATGTATTTGAGTCTACGTAACCCCGCCATTGTAACTGTGGTACTTTTGACCCAAGTTTTGCCCGCTGATCAAAAATCCCTCAGCGTCATCGTGGTGACTTGTCAGTGAACTATGAGTGATTTTGTGGTTTCGTCGGTGCTGTGCGATATCCTAGCGAAGTGAGATTTTCTGATCACCATTGGTCTGGAACTAACAGTGCAACCTCGATCAACTACCTTGATCATTACTGTCTACCGGCTGAACCCATCCACCCAATCATCATCTATTGTTATTATTTATCGGCCTGGCTATCAATTTAAAATGTCCTTTAATGACATTCGCGGGCCAGTTAAAAATCCACCAGAAGGTTAAGCTTAGAAACGGATATTCCTGACAGTGCCGGACTCTTCAACCAGTGACGTCATCGAGACGCAACAGCTGCGTCATATGGGTACGGCTTTGTATGATAGTTGTCCGTGTGTCCGTGGCAGTGTCAAGCTCTGTTGTAAAGTTTATAGCTTTTAATCAAGGAGGTTAAAGGATTAATTATTGATCTGTACAGATATGGTTCGTGTTTATAAAGAATAATTTGAGTTTGCCAAGGTTTTTCCATTAAAATATTAATTTCAGATTCTTAGGAAGACACTGCCAAATTACAACGCAATGTACAGTAGACTTTCGATCGCAGTCAGTGCATGTTAGTGGTTCCCCGCTACAACGGCTACGACTTCGATGTATTAATGTACGGTCAACATCAACACTACGGCTGCGACTCAGCCGTGAACAATGCGTAAGGAAGCTTCAAGTCAGAAGTTTTCGGGTGCGCAGCCGTAGACCAGCAAATTAACGCTCAAATCAGCCCTGTAAATTTTATCTCAATTATTTATCGGCGGATCGATTCGAAATTCGGTACACATACGTAAACCGGAATTCTAAGACTTTTTTGTTTGTGTGAATTTTTCGAAAAAAAGAAAGAAAACGTGAAATTCTTAGAAAACGGACATAAAAGGGGGTACTGTAGAAATCTCTCTCCTCCTAGGATTTTCAAGCTACAACATCGAGACACATATCATTCGATGCGTAAAGACCATATCTGAAATTAATGCAAACAGTTTTTTTAAATTCTCATTTTTGTGGGTATGGGAGCATTTTTCATGAATTTTTCGGAATTTTTTTCATTTCACCCCCGCCACCCCTTCTATTTGCAGAATTAAATCCAAACTATAACGAAATTACAAAAAAAAACTTCTGCATCAATTGTAGATCTTTTATTTGCGATTCGAACGGTATATCTCTCATTGACGTAGCTTCAAAACTCTAGGAGGAGATAGGTTTGCAGTGACAATAAGTTAACTTTTCAGTAGAGCCCCGCAAAGTCGCACGCGCCTCTAAATAGACATTCAAAGGTGCAAGATTGCAAGACTAGACGATACTGGAGCTCAATTTCTGTCAAATATGGTGCGAACGCCGGCACGAGAACCATCCCGTACGACTGCAGGCGGATAACTAAAGCACAGCGTGTTCAGACTAGCTATTTAAGTGTTCTACCGGTAATTTCGGCCTATCTTAGGTGTTAAAGAACTTCATTACCCCTAACCCTTTCGCGATCTGTCGTGAACGCATAAATCAACGTACAGAGATGGTTTTGGTACCGTTAGATGCATCAGAATGTGGGCTTTAAGATGAGTATAAAAACCGAAAAAGTCAAAAAATTTTTATTTTGGGGCAGGCGCTCCCCTTAAATTTTGTTGTATTTTAAAATGTTGTTGATATTTTTTTCCAGACTTTCTGTTGAAGGAGATTGATCAAGGCAAGATCGATGAATCTGATTCTGTGATTGAGCTGGAGGCAAATTAAAGTCTGTCCAGACAGCCGATGTCACCAGCTACAGCTAGGATGGCCTCCTCCAGACCATCATAGAACACAATTATTGGAAAATAAATAATGTGCTTTTCTATTTTTATTTGCCTGTCAAGAATAAGTACCATATTAAACCACAACATGTATTCGTAGCAAAAATTATTTCAATTGCCGTGCTCCAATCTGAATAGTAAAAGGATACGTCTCAAGTTATTATATAAGTGCTGAGCTGGGCAACGCTACTTTGAAATGTAGCGGCGCTACCGCTAACGCTACATGCTCTAAATGTAGCGGGCGCTACCGCTACCGCTACACCCACTAGATTGTAGCGAGCGCTACCGCTACCGCTACCGCTACAGTAAAATGTAGCGCCGCTACATTAGCCGCTACAATGGCCAAAATTATTGAAAATCTCTAAATATTGTTATGCTATTGGAATTTACTCATAAGCATTTAATGATGATAAAACATTTTCAAAAGATATCAATGGAACTTTATTGCAATTAACCTAACCGAACTAGTGCGGGTTAGATACAGTAAATAAAAGTTACAGTTATTTTTATGTTTTACCTTCCCTACATGGATGTCTACTTTAATCTACCTACCAATCTAAAAAATTATCCACATATACTTTTAAAAATTCAGTCTGTTATTTGTACATATATGTGGATTATTTTTGAGATTGGTAGATTGAAGTAGACATCCATGTAGGGAAGGTGAAACAAAAATAACTAAGCAAACTGAAACATGAAAAAATTCCTGTAAGTGGTAACTGGTAACAACTTAACATGTAACAACTAACATGTTGACACTAGTAACAGGCTGAGGTTGGCAACATTACCCCGAAATCTTTCGTACAGTTTTATGCTGTAATTTATATTATGTATGTATCATGCTGGTTTTTAAATAGTATATAATACTATTAAGTAAAATCTAAAAGCTTTATCTATAAATGTAGCGGTAGCGCTGTAGCGGCAAAACCTCGTATCGCTACTTAATTATGTAGCGGACGGTACCGCTACCGCTACAATTGCTTAAATGTAGCACCGCTACCGCTACTGAAAATGTAGCGGCCGCTAGTAGCGGCCGCTACATGTAGCGCGCTACTGCCCACCTCTGTATAAATGTATGATGGTAAGCCAAAGTTTACACCACATCAATAATTGATTCTTCTCGTTATTTCTCGTTATGTCTCGTTAAAATGGCTATAAATTCAGGGAAATTTTAAGCTATCTATTTTAACCGGGATGTCTTGTCTCGGAATCGTCCCGGAATTCCTACGGAGGGCTGAAAATTGTCCCGGTTTTTATTGCGAACCGGGACAGAGCCTGTTGTCTCGTCTCGTCTCGTCTCGGATACAAAAAAATACCAAACGCAGGAGTCTAATGGTCAGGTGCAGGTAGACTTGTTGAAATGAATACCTCCCTCCCAATCTTTAGGAACTGGCATGATTACATGGAGATCAGGCATATTCACGTAAATGTCACCCTCCTCATCTGTTAGGAACTCGCATGATTCGATGAAGGTAGACATATTCACGTAAATGCAACCTCCCTATCTTAAGGAACTTGTATCATCAGGTCACAGAATCTGGCAAGGCCATATTTGAGAACGTCTCCAGGGTAGACTCCTGCGTCTAGAAATAATTTTCTCGAAATGAAACGGGACAGACGAAACGAGACGAGAAAATTCCGGGAAAAAAATAACGGGACAGAGGGTAAAATTTGTCCCGGAATAAACGTATGAACCGAGACAAGACTTCTGTCCCGGACTTCAAAACTTGTGTGGGTCGGTAAATTATGAACCGGGACGAGACAGACAGATTTGAAACGAGACATAACGAGACGAGACGAGATTTGTCTTAATTATTTAGGACAAAACAAGTTTTTCGATTACGATACGAATCATTTCGAAAACATGGGTTGAAGAATGACCAGTTAGCCCTTTATTGCTAATAGGGCCATAGACAGTTATCAGTTAAATTGAGTTAATTGCAGATTTAGCATAATTTGTCTAACTAACTGACATGGTAGTTAATTAGTGGTCCGACAAACACCGCAAACCTGTCGATGTATGCATGGCTGAGTATGTTACTCTTAAGTCTTAAGTCAAAAATGTTACTCTTAAGTCTAAACTAAGGCTTCGATGGCACTTATGGGAACCGTACGAATACGAGTCGAGTTTATTACGCGTTTGGAACGAGTTCAGGCGCCGTGGAGCGCATAGGGAGTAGGGACGCAGTGTGCCAGAGCCTAGATTAGTCGGCAATTAGTAGACAGTGGAGTGGAGTCCTGGTAAGATATTCCTAATAATACTAAAGCTAGTATTAGATTATCTCTGCCTTTAGTAAAATTTTGTGCTACGCCTCCAGGAAATCTTCACAATTGCGCAGTTTCCTGAGTTTCCTGAATTGTTATCAAACACATGGTCTTGTTTAACGTTATTTAGAAAGGATACACATGTATATTACGAGTTCTTTTTTGAAGATCAAACTATTATATTTTTTTACAACTTAAATTTTGTTGTATTTTAAAATGTTGTTGATATTTCTTTCCAAACATTTTGTTGAAGGAGATTACTGAAGGCAAGATCGATGAATCTGATTCTGTGATTGAGCTGGAGGCAAATCAAAGTCTGTCCAGTCAGCCGATGTCACAAACTGGCAACTACAGCTAGTATGGCCTCCTCCAAACCATCATAGAACACAATTAAAAAAAAACATAATTTTCCATTTTTATTTGCCTGTCAAGATTAAGTACCATATTAAACCACAACATGTATTCGTAGCAAAAATCATTTCAATTGCCGAGCTCCAATCAGAATAGTAAAATGATACGTCTCAAGTTATTATATAAATGCAGAGGTGGGCAGAAGCGCGCTACATGTAACGGCCGCTACATTTTTAGTAGCGGTAGCGGTAGCGCCCGCTACATATTTAAGTAGCGATACGAGGTTTTGCCGCTACAGCGCTGCCGCTACATGTATAGATAAAGCCTTTAGATTTTACTTAATAGTATTATATATTATTTAAAAACCAGCATGATACATACATAATATAAATTACAGAATAAAACTGTACGAAAGATTTCGGTGTAATGTTGTCAACCTCAGCCTGTTACTAGTGTCAACATGTTAGTTGTTACCTGNCTCGATTGCTTCTTTTACCTCTCATGGGAGTCTGAAAGTTTCCTCCCCCAGACCCTAAAGGGCGACTTTGGTAGAAAAGCAAACAGCCTAAAACGGAGTTTGCTCTAATTATTTTCGTTTGAGGAACGAAAACAATCTAATTAGAGCTCGGAGTTTTAGGCTGTGCTGAGACCACCTCCTCCCCAAACTTTATTACGCGGACAGTGCTACGATTGAGAGCATGCAGACCGCGCCTACATAGCTGTGGCGCCACTCAAGGTCAACGGTAGAAAAGCTGCCAAAGGCGGCTTTCTTCCTTTTTCTTTACTGATACGATTAAATTCGAGGAAGAAACAATCCAAAGATCAAATAGAGCTTTCGACATGTTAAAAGCAAACAGCCTAAAACTCCGAGCTCTAATTAGATTGTTTTCGTTCCTCAAACGAAAATGATGACGTGTTAGAAAGAACCTTACTGTAAGCTGCATTTGATTATTCGTTTCTCGAAAATTATTTACTGGGAATGATGCTAACCTCAACTAATAGACCATAATATAACTGTACAGTGAAATCGTATGCACGGGTTATAAGAGAGTGAATTGATTAACCTAAGAGTTCAAGATTCTGCTAAATAAATCTAGAGGCTAGAGAAAGCATAGGCTTTGTGCCTGATTCCACGAGTTACAGAGGTTACCGATAGTGCTTACCTGGGTATCACTAGGCTTTAAGGACATGGGGGGCTAAGCCTCCAGCTTTCAAGAACACTTAAAACAGGTGGGCTAATCCTCTCGATTTTAAAGACAGAAGGGCTAAGCCCCTGCAGTTCTCAGGGACAGGTGGGCTAGGCCCCAGCTTTCAAGGACAGGTGGCACCGTGAGCTAAACCTCTCTGTTTTTAAATACAGCGGGGCTAAGCTCCAGTTTTCAAGAGCAGTGAGGACTAAACCTCCAGGTTTTGAAGAAAGAGGGGCTAAGCCCCAGGTACTAAGGAAAGAGGTGGCTAAGCCCAAGATTTTAAAGACAAGGTAGCTAAGCCCACAAGTTTTGAGGACTGCGTGGCTAAGCCATCACATTTTAGGAAAAGTGGGGGCTGAGCCCCAGTTTTTGAGACTTAGGGGAGAGTGTCCCAGTTCTCATAGACAGTTTGGTTAAGCCTCCAGCTTTCAAGGACAGGTGAACTAAGCCTCTCTGTTTTATGGACATAGCGGCTAAGCCCAAGTTTTCAGGGATAGGGAGAGCTAAACCTCCAAGTTAATTACAGAGGGACTAAGCCCCCAGGTTTTTACAGAGAGAAGTGACTAAGTCCAAGGTTTTATGGACAGAGCGGACTACGCTCCCAAATTTTAACGACAAGGGGGCTAAACCTACAGGTTTTAAGAACAGAGAGGCTACCCGGCTATGCCACCAAGTTTAGAGGAAGAGAGAGGCTAGGTTATCACATTATCTTTAAAAAAGAGGTTTAAACGATGCTAAAGCTCCCTTTAACATGCTTAATGAAGCCTTAGGGCGCCAATGTCCTGTTTCTCAGATTTCAAATCTGTTATTGACGGCTTCAGCTTGAAATGTTGTTGGTGGTGTTTTGGAGAAACTACGTGATAATATTTCATTACTGTTTTGTGATACTACTTCATTAATATTGTAGCGGGGAACCACTAGCATGTACTGACCATATGATCGTTAGTCTACTATACATTGCGTAGTCAAGTAGCGGGCCATAAAGAGTTTTAATCAATTAAGCACTTCTGAGCCGTAAGGATATTAGGATGCATCAAGAATCATCTTTCATTTCTTGAAGGAAATTTTATTCACAATAATCAAGCCAGCTCATTATTCTATTTATTCGAATGAACATCTGGTGATCTATTGCTAACCCAGCGGGAGAACTTCTGAATAATTACCATTGGTAAAGGATTAAAGAACAATTGGATTTAATACNAGCCTCTATACATAATATAAATCACTTCTCCTGTTCAGTTTGTGTACTTACATACATTAAAATACGATTTTTCAAGTGTACGAATATTTATTTCCCCCCACTGTATAAATTCTAAACGGTCGTTGTTTGTCTTGTACTACAATAGAGTTGATTTTTTTATTTACTTTAGCTAAAGTCTACAAGTTACTCCGAGTGATCACATTTTTTCATGACAAATCGTAAATTCTTCACATTGTTTCCATAAATTTGGATGCTGACCCTTTACGTAAATTTGCCTAAAGATTTTCTAAAGTTTGTTGGGAAAAAGAGCACATAGTTATGCACGGAAAAAATTTACGTGAAGCGGATGAGTTGAGGATATCGAATTTATTCGCTAATGATCAACATTCGTTTCTAATTTGTCTCGTAATATTAAATCAATAGCAAGTCTCACTCACCTGGGGGCATGGAGGGTGGCTTTCTGTTCCAATATCCCAACAGAGCTAAAGAAACAACAAGCAAGAGAATTGATACGAACATGATCCTTGAAGTAGATTTCTTTCGTTAGTAACCTGTGATGATCAAATTATACATATATTCATTAGATATTATGCTTTCTCGTTTCGGATAAAACGCGTTATCCGCAACATTACTAAATTCAATTAGATTCATTACTTTCTCATAAGTTACTTTCTCAACTCAATCACAGATACTGAAATTGCCAATGACGGACTCTGAATTTTGGCCATTTCAAATCAAGTAGTACGGGATCTGTTGACTGTCAAAATTACCAGGGCTGGAGTAATTTTACGCTCGATAAGTAGAGCACAAAAAAATCTTACAATAATTAGCAATACAACTTTTAATTTGTGAATAAATTTGAACTGAATTTATTTAAACAGAAATTACATACAATTCAATACCCTGCATCGCTATAAGAGGCCTCGTCATCGCGGTTAGACCCCTCATCACCACCATCGTGTAAGTCTTAAGATGAAAATCACGGTTTGAATTCACTTGAACTTTTGGAAGAACCTTGAAAAATTTATTGCCGGGAACTCACGAAAGTCGTTTAAAAGTTACAGTATGTAAATTACCCTTAAAACCAAATAAATCAGTAATCAATACTAAAAGAATATTTTCTCCATTTGTCCTGGTTGTCATGTGAATTTCATTCACCCTCCTCCACGCCAGCCATCGGGCAACTCACCGCGGTCACCGCACATGGACGACTGATCTCCATGCCCATGATAAGACGAGTTTTTTCCTGCTCAACCCTTGATATTTAATTACACATAATTTATTGTCTTTATTTAAAGGAGTTGTGACAACTCTGTTCTTGTGTCTGAGATAAAAAACATATTTTTTCTCATTTAGCATGTATTGCTCTAGACGCTGCCCCACTGTGAAAATGTTTATGAAGTCGCTTTAGAAAGTTAATTTTGTAGTTTGTCATTGTTTAAAGCACACTGTAGACTAAACGCATTGTTTCCG